TATATGAAGTGTTATTGAATAGTATCTTTGCAGTACATTGTAATTATATTATATTATGTTTCACTTACGTTGTAAAGTTTTTTTAGTAGCATGCTTGCATGATTGAACTCCAAACATGAAATTAAATACCAAGAAATATGTGATCTATGGATAAACTATAAAGTTATGTAAAAGGCTCGAGATGTAAGACTCACTAATACCTACCTATACAAACAGAACGTCGGATACAAAAACAAACAACAAGTTAAATGATTTCTAAAATAAACCTATACAAATATTATGAAATCTTAATTTTGTTTAGAAAGAAATTAGATATGTCCAATTTTGTTCTTGCTTTTCACAATTTCGTTTTCGTTTATGCTCCTCTTAAGGATTTGTCTAGGTAGACATGTCCGTACTTAGCGTTGATTGACAACACACCGAGAGATGTGAACCTAATCCGACAGTTAGTCGATAAAAGTGATCAATTTCTGAGGTAGCTAATCGATACCGGTGTAGGCAAGTGTTATATTGTAGCGAAGGGACAAAATTATCACATGCAAATCACAGAAACAATCATGGGGTTAGAGACGAATATAATACACACGAGTTCATTCATATATATCTTATAATAAATCAAAATAAATCAGTACATTATGTATGTGTTCAGTGATCAATTTTATAAGTACATCTATGGAGATTAAAAACAGTAATACACTTGGACCTATATGTAGTGAAATGAGCAAAATTCTGGTACCTGTATTTAACATTAATTTGGTAGTTTAAATTTTCTTATGAACTCAAAAACATATCTAATATATCTTAGGAGAGGAATATTTAGATGAGTTACAAATATTGTGAATTCGTCAAAGTAATTCATTTATGTTTGTGTCGCAATTATGTAGTAAACCTTTATTTTTTCATGTTGATAAGTTCTATCCATTTCACATAGAATGTCAACAGTAAACTAAGGTACCGATGTGCCATTGTACTAAAGTAGCTTTATACGACTAACTCCAGATTTACTTGGTACATAACTTAAACTTGATTTTTCATTAAGATGTTTTCAAAATCACACCTTTTGTGCGTGTTTATGATCTGAGAGTAATCTCATTTGTTTAATTGAATTTCACGGCTGTCAGTGCGCTATATTTTACAGAATAATTGTGTCCTTAGTTTTATTTCATTTTGGTTTATCCTATGTTAATTATTATTCTTAATTAATTATGTCAATCACATCAAAATGCCATCTCTGTTGTTCCAAATGCAATAGAAGCTACTAGGACAATTTTATGCTTTCTGCAGAAGTACAACTGTTTGTGGTATCAATCCTGAACCTTTTCGCGGTGCAGATGTAATCGTGTGGAGGTGTTCGCGGCTTGGAGGTAAGGGTGATGTCAATGGAAATGCAATAGCTTCTTATATTGAAATGTGTCTATTTGTTTTCGCGTGGATTTTTTCGCGCTGATTTGGCTAGCAAGGCATTAACACGAAACCCTTTACTTATACATCCTACAGAGTATCTTACTTATGTCTTTACTTGTGCGTTACCCTTAATAAAGCTTACAAATGTGTACTGCTCAGTGTGTAATTATCAGCGCTTGTTCCTTTAGATGATCCCTATATAGTGTGGTGTTTTTATTTTAATTGTTTGTACATAACAATTAAGTTCACTAGCAAAGGTTAAAGGACAAATCAAAAGTTACACACGCTTTGATAAATATAATATGAAACGTATAATGTATGCAATATATAGAGCAGTTTATATGAAACATAGGATTATTTTGTGGAATGTATTTAATAAATTATGTTTGTAAAAGTTATGTTATTCCTAATGTGTGTAAAATGTAAAATAAAGTTTGTAGGTAGGATATTTTATCCGAAAACAAAGAATTGCAGTGTAATCATAAGTCTTATATTTATTTATTCAACAACATTTTGCTATCCAGAATAATTTTGAAATATTCAGCCATGGTATTAATCATGTAAAGGAATCACTTTGGTTTATTTGAGAAGGAGATAGACAGTTTATACAAGCATTACTATTCTCTTTTATGTCTAGAAATCTGTAGCTCATTCCGGATATAATCGAGAGGATTCCGTTTTTACTTTTCTCGGCTCATACCATCGATACGGTTGAAACCAAACCTGCATAATTGGTAGAATTTGGCGTTGTATAAATATTGTTTAAATAAGTTTGGATCTAACACGTGTGGAGTACACAGTTATCCGACCGGTCAGCACCTGGACAACACTCCCTACTGACCAGCTGTGTCCGAAATACGCTGACCTTTGCGATCAAGAACATGTTCTTTCATAATTTTAAACATATATTTCATATTTACTTTTATATAATGTTTGTCTTAAAATTAGAAAATATTTACGACTTTTTAAATACAAAAGCGAAACGAACCGAAATTATGTAGATTTCCAAACAAATATTGGGGCTGTAGAAGAATAAAAACGACTGGGTTCCTTAAGAGAAAGTTCGTCTTTAATTCATTCCATTAATTGATTCAATTGGTTTTTTTTATTTTCCTTGTAAAAGAAATTTTCTAATGAGATAATCTTCGTAAGTATATTTCTATATTTCCAACGAAAACATTATCTTATTATTACAATTAAAAATTCTGTACATTTATTACCGTAAATGATTATTATTATATTAAAAATAATAAAAACCAAACGTCGGTTTTATTGTCAAATCGTCAATTTTCGTAGCTGATTTCTGTAATTGTGCGTTATTAAGGATTTCGAAAAGGCATTTACCATAGATGTCCATATTGACATTTGATCAAATTTGTTTTGTCTAAAAATCACATTCTTTTACATTAAAACACGTGAAATGTAATTCAATCTTCTCGGCGGGAAATATTAGCAATAGTCTCTTTTAAAATTATTTTGGATTCTTTGGGGTTCTAAATATATATCAATGCACGTGCACAACATCGTCATGCGTTTCTCACTCTCCAAGAAACTTATCAGACGTGAGATTGGTGGGGGTCCCCAATCTCGAGGCTGTGTACATTTGCGGCGTTCCCCGCAGAGAGAGATCCCGAGCCGAGGTGATGGTAACTCTACGCTAACGTACTCCACCTGTTGTGGGTAGACGCGGCAGGGGCCAATGCTAGTGACCCACCATAGCTGATTCTGTATATTCGAATGTTCATGAAAAATGGCACCCCTACCGGGAGAAAAACGCCATTTTCTGGATTATTCATAACGTTGTGAAATTTAGTGTGAAAATAGTGAATATTTGTACTTTTTTTCTGAACGCCCTCTGTTTTGTGTGATTGATGACCACTAGAGTGTTATCCAAAAGTGATTATTGTCCGTGAATTACTGTAAACTATTTCCGTTGTAATTATAGAAGAACTTTGTACAAAGGAAAAAGTACATTTCTCAAATTTATGATTAATGACCCAAACTCACATGGAAGTAATTCTAGAGTTTTGAAATAAGATGGATTCCATTTTTACTGGTGAAGATTTCGCTTTAAACTATTCTAGTATTACTCCTCGATTATAAAGTTGTCAACACCTTCAGCTGGTGAAATTTCTCGATGTGAATAAGAATAAAATAAGAATTCATTTTTTATCTTTAAATTACATTGGTGTCATATGCACGGTAGACTCACATACACTTCGGTTATTGTACTTTACCCGAGTAAATCGCACTGGTTTACACAAAGAAATTTTACTTATTTTATCTATTTTTATAACCCCTTTTTTGTAGATATATTTAATAATTTACACATACAAACATACTAGGTGTGGTGTTTGTGATTACCGTACACCCACTAGGGAGCGTGCTGAATCACTACCATACCTTTGGATAATTATATCATTTGATATATTGCATTACAAAAACAATTAATCTACAATCAGTGTAGAGCAGTTGTAATTAAGTCAATTTAATTTACTCTAGTTAAGTGGTTACATTTTATTTTCAATTTCAAAACTAAACATACACTAAATACAGATATATATTTGCATAAAAATGATATAGTACAGTGTAATAAGCCATGATAATTTCTCCACGTGTTCTATCAATTACTCTATAAATTAATGTAATGTAATGTAGTGTACAGGCTCAATAGACTGGTGATTCAATAGTTATCACTACAATATAAAGTGTTTAACAATGTTCACTGTGTAAATATTGTGTGCGTTTCCTACAATATGTAAACAAGTTTATTGTGTTAGGAGTCGGGTCGGACCGTCATATCAGCGCGCTATTGACTCAGTTACGACATTTGTTTTTTGTCAATATTTATACTGACATTAGAGTAGTATTTATAAATCTGTTTAGTGCCGTTATGTTATGTCGAAAAACCTGCCCAACACTTATACATGTATTGAGCTAAATTTGAAAATATTTATCGAAAACAAGTTGAGTATTTATAAAGTAAACAGATCGGTTTGTGTACAACGTGATGGAGTCTGACAAGATTTGGAGGTGTCATTGCTGTAACACTCTGGCTACCGTGATTCCTCGTATGATATGTCATTGTTGACCTGTCCAGCTGAGGTTTACCGAACTAGACAGTACGTTAAAGAGACAATTTTCTTGAACACAATTTGCTTGCAGGCATACGTGTTCATTTCATTAACTACTGAATGCGTGTCGATCTAATAACAATAGTATATGTTTCTGAATGCAAACAGGAGATACGCGATAAATAAGAATAGGCGCTTCACATCAACACACAAGATTCAAATGAAATTTACACAGTATTTAAATTTCCACTCGTTCCCTTTCTGCTGGCTGTGTTTGTCTGAATACGTACTAATACAGACGAGAGAAAGATTTCTGTTGAAATTGTCAATTACTCAAGTCGATGACGGGTTCTCCCCACACGGACCGACCTAGTATCCCGTCAGCCCCTGTGTGTGGCCAGCAGATTCGCAGATAAGATTACAGCGCGGCCCGATTGGCCTGGTGAAAATTGAAGGCGGAGCCTGGCTCCATATTTGTAGCTTATTAGTCACAACAAATCACTCGATAGTTAACGTTGTTGATCATAAGGCCATCGAGATCACGTCTATCTCAGCTTGTAATAACAGACACTTGATCACGAGGACGAGACCGGCGTGAAACACACACACGCAGCATAAACACATGCTTTGCGTGTGAGAAAACGACGGGCGAAATTTACGAGCAGGAATTGTTTTTGTGGAAAAGACATTTTATCACCTGAAAGTGGACTTTATTATATACAAGTGAACTTCAAAAACAATATTTATACTATTGGGAGCAGGGACGGTGTGGAAATGCAACCGGGTCCGCTCCAACACCGCTATCACCATTCTGCCAATGTCCCGGGGATCGGGAACGGGGCCGGGCTGAGTGTGGTACCCGCCCTGTTCGGGGACCAGAACTACTATCGACATGGTGGCTATACTTCCGTGACCATGGATAGAATGGCCGCTATGTACGGGGCGGCGGAACAGTATCCCCACATGGGGCGCTCTAACCCCTACAGTCCCTACGCCCCTCCACAACAGGTACACAAGGACATGGTCAAACCACCCTACAGCTACATCGCCCTCATTGCCATGTCCATCCAGAGCCAGCCGGATAAGAAAATCACCCTCAATGGAGTATATCAGTTCATTATGGACAGATTTCCGTTCTACAGGGAGAATAAACAGGGGTGGCAAAACAGTATACGCCACAACTTGTCCCTCAACGAGTGTTTCATCAAAGTGCCTCGGGACGACAAGAAGCCCGGGAAAGGATCGTACTGGAGTCTGGACCCAGACAGTTATAACATGTTCGACAACGGTAGCTACCTCAGGAGAAGGAGACGGTTTAAAAAGAAGAACGCTATCAAGGATAAGCTCGATCGCGACTCTGACGACCCAAAGGATCAACGGAAATGTCCGAATGACCAAAAGACTGACGGTGAAAATGACATTCCCAGAAATGGTGAGTCAGTGACTTCAGAATATTCAGACAGTTCCAGTAGCCCCAATAAATACGATCTCAAGAAAAACCCGCACGGTCTGGAGACCCCGCCACACTCTCCCGGAACTCGGATGCTCCCGGTCACTGGGACCAAATTAGAGCCTCTAGACCCGGTCAGTCCGGACTGTATGAATACTGGACACTCTCATCACAGTCCGAGCTCGCTTCCTATTCCTACCGACCCTCTGGACCCTCCGTCCAGCAACTTCTCCGTGGAGAACCTAATGACCAACCCTCATACCAGCGTACCCTGTGACATTTCCAATACGTGCAACTTCGCGCCGAGCAGACAGACACCACTCATCAGTCCGTCCGTCCTACAATATACGGGTACCCGGGTGTCCGACATTTACAGGAATGTGTCCACATGCAACCAGAACATGTCGCCCCCTCTGGGATATTCGTACCCCTCTAACGCAAGTGCTCAGTCTCTTCTTGGACAGTCCTCTATCGGAAATCCTGGGGTGCATTCTCTGCAGATCGCCTCCCCCGGGGCGGAGGACGGAAGTTCAGGAAGTGCTAGTCCCCAACCCGCGCCTGCCCATGCCCACGGAACTATTTCTCAAACCAATGGGATTAACTCCGCCATGTTTACAATGTCCCAGAATCAGACATACGGACGAACAAGTGCTTGGTACATGTCCCCACCCACAGGGGAATTTTCTTCCCATAGTACGGACTTCTCGTCACCCTCGCCCTTCTCCGCGGTCCGGGATGTGTTTGACAGTCAGAGACTTCTCGGGGGACAGCCCGGGACCCAGGGGCAGTCCACCGCAAGCTGTCAGCTAGCGGCCTTTAGGACTCCTTACAAATCCCCTGGCTCGTACACATGTGAATACAGTAAGTTTTGATCGAGAATTCAATGTTAGTTCATGGTGCAAAAAAACTGGTAAATGTGGATTTTTCTATTTTCTATTATCTTCATTTTTTTTCTAGTGAATATCTGAATATTGTGATTTTTTTTTTATCTCATTGACTTTTAAATGTGACGAGAAAACGTGCTCCGTTTCCAGAAGACAATTGGAACTGTGATTGAACTGTTTGACCAATAGGTCGTGTAAAGTGGTTCTCAAAGATAGCTTTAAGGTATGGTGTGTGTAAGCTTTTACTTAGAAGCAAATATCAAAAGTATATGACAAAGTATCCGTTATGCTTATAGCCTATCTGAAGGTATTGTAGCATGAAATATGTGTATTCATTTATTTTGTATGGAATATGAGATAAATTACATAATTTAAAGCTGTATTTTGTTCTTTATGATATATTTTACATTTTGGTTTATTATACACCTGTATCGATCGCGACAACGTTTGGAATCTCAAGAAATTACATGATTGTAATTACATGTATTTGTAGGAAGACCACGTGTGCTTAATCAGTGGCGCTCTGAAATTTAACAGTATGTTCTTTTATATTCCAAATGAATTAGTCGCTGTAGATTAGTACGATCCGTGCAATAGGAACAGATCGAAGCACGTGAGCAAACTATTATCTCCAGAAGAAATCGTTTTAGCCGCTCCTGCAAAGCCGTACGTCCCTAGTGTCAGATTCAATTGAGATATTAAGAGGGAAAACGTGAGTTCGCCTCAAGGTGATTCTGTAGTGAAGCAGTGATGTAACTTGTACGCTGAATTACAAAACTTATTTAGTTTGGCATTTTACTTTCACGGAAATCACAACTGCCGGTACATTTATCAAATAGCATTTAAATTTACAAGATATTGGCACACACTTACCACCTACACGTGTAAAACAGTGGTTCTGTAGTTACATTTTTCAATTAGTTTTCAAAATGTTATTGGTATAACGTGGTTTTATTTAATTTGATAAAAAGCTCATTGAAATTTAATTTTCCATTCTTTTTAAATGTATTTTGTTACAAAGATTACAAAAAACATTGAAATAATTTCTGAGACATTTCATCGTATGATTTAGCGTAAATCAAAACTGTTTTCATCTATAAACAATTTGTTTTACATTCTTAAATATTCCGTTCAAATAAGCTTCATCACACAAACATCACATAAGAATACACACGATTTCATTGTATGTTTATCTGCTCTTTTAAAATCTACCTCGTTACAAAACTTAAATAAACCTAATTTATCCTGCCAATTATTTACATGATAAGGTAAAATAGTACCCTAACATCAATTTAAATTATTTTAGGATCGCTATTAAAAACATATCGAAAAATTACATACATATTTGTATATATTGGTAAGTTAGAACTATTCGTTACACGCGACGTAACTTGTAATTTAAAAAAATGTGGATTTGTGCCTTTTATTGTTATGGTAAATAAATTGAAGTGTATGCATAATAAATTAATTTCAGATAACCTGTTAAAACTTGTAACGTAACACATTCTTAAAATGTTTCGACACATTTATATTTCGATTGTATTTTTTGTCTAAAATTACAAATATGTTTTATTTCTAGTTGTTAATACAACTAACATCCTTTTCCATGAAACATATTATAGCTTTGCCAGCTGAAAAAGATGCTTCAATTTACAAACGTCAGTATTTTAATAACGTTAGTCATAGCTATCTTACACTTTATGATGGTTTTGACATCCGTTATTTTGCTTAAATATGTATATTAATATGTACAAAATTATGTTCAGAAACAATTAATCGGTAAATGAACAATACTGACTATTTCTGTATGAAAAAAGCGACAGTGTCGTCACAGATAATTCACGCACACATAATAATAGCCAGAATATTCTTCAGATGGATTGTTTATCAGATAAATTAACATTGTATCAGAGAGATATATGACGTTATTCCAATTGATCAGATTCTAGAAAAAGTGATTTTAAACTCCGATTGTTTTAAAACAAAAATGCTTAAATGACAGACTGTATTACATTAATGCTTAATTTAGTTAAATCAAAATAGTTTTTGAAGGACAAATTGTATTCAAATAAATTTTAAAAGAGGAGATTGTAGCAGTACAGCAGGCGAGATGGAGATAATGAATTGCTCTGTGTGATGTATCGACATATCGGTGAAATATGAGCCCAGTAACACACAGGTAGACGCCGGCAGCTATAGTGTAGGTGTAGGTTAACTTGATTTATAATAAATATTGGTTTTAGTTCCCGCTGTATTTGTACAGTAAACACACACACGTTTTTGTCTACGCGCACTCACACAATTTTTATATTTACACCATCGAAATATGAATATAAACTTTATATATTCATAAACAATAAATATTTACCTATTACATGTAGATTAATGACACTAGGGCATGGATACGTAACACTGGTAATAATGAAAATTTATCAAAATAAACAATAAATGTTATAAAGTACTACCGTTACAATGTAAACTAACACGAATGTTGTGGTACCCCCGCGGTTTTTACCTCTGTATTGTGCAGATTTCCTCGATTTTTTCCCGTGCGATTTCGACAGCTAACTCTTAGCTATGTATAACATTGTAATATAACATTAAGATATTATATAAACAGGGTAACTATGACATTACAACATCATTATTACGACGATAAATCTGTGACATATAGGATGAAACTATCAACTGTGTGGCACCATTTATTAGTGTAAATCACTTACAACAAAAGACATATACAGTGTATATATTTTTAATTTTATTCTTTACACAGATACACAAACAAATACAATGCTTCTTAATAATTCAGAAATTAATTCAGCGAACATCGACCTCTAAATTCCAGTCATTTTAGGCAAAAATCGAAGGAATATTATCAGCAACCTTAAGTTCGTTTTAAATTTAATTAAAAAAATAATTTGAATTGATTATCATATACTGATTGTGTTCATCAAAAACTAGGAACTTTTTGGAAGCATTTCCTTTTATTAAAACTGAAGTTATTTTGATGTTTGTTTCACTGGATATTATTTGGAGACATTTCCATGTATATGTATGAATGTTACGAAACAAATAATAAAATCAATTATTTTTTAAATGTCATACATCAATCAACATATTATATATAAACAATAAAAACCGCGCCCATTTGATCAATATTACAGCTATTTACCTCGACCTAGAAGTCTCTTACAACATGTTAACATATTAATAAGGTTACAATTACATATTACTCAATCATTCTTACTTATATGATGAAAAAAATATTTGATCGTGTAAAAATTACGTTACATTGTACAGCATACAAATATTAAGATATTCAGAAGTAAAATTAATCAATAGAACTGACTTCTTCCATTGAGGATTCAGTTATTTTATGTCATTGTTGCAGAATCTGTATTTTTAAAGTGGTTGTGAAATCGTTTACTATAACGGTACAAACCACAGGTTACAATCTGTCGAATCTCTACGTTTTTCATTATATTATTTATATATACAGCCAGAGTAGGACCCCTCTCGTCAGCCATCCCTTCACGCCCATGTACACATTACAGCGCAGACAGACACGGTTAACTTACAGCCCCAGTATTTACCTGGTTTTGATTTATTGAATAAATTTCAAGGTGGCAAAACATATTAAGAATCTATAAATGTTTAACATTTAAATGATATGTATTGCTTATATACATCATATAACTATATCCAGAAATGGCAAAAAAAGTGTATAGATTATAAGACCTGAAAACAAACTTTATACATACTGATTATAACTGAAAGTTAGATATCGTGAATGGATCCAACATAAAAATCATCAAAAAAGTTTGTAAAAAATGACAAAAAAGTCAGTAAAAATTAACATATTCAATTATTATAAACCGCTAACAATATATCATAAATTAACTTAAGTATGAAATGGGACAAATATGCATATGGATATTTATAATTTAAAACATTTTTTTTTTAATCCAACTTTTTATCTTGAATATTTTTTTAATTAACTTAATTAAAAATATATTTCTACTCTGTTACAATACTAAAACAGCAGATAGGTTTAAACCTTCACTCTGCTCATCAGTTTTGTAAGGCCCAAAACGACGCCCTGCCAATATGTTCAGATGACAAAACATATGTGGTTATACGAACAAAACATTCGAATAAACCTTGGTAAGATTTTGTTTTCATTTTATGCAAATCAAGAAAATGAAATGTGCACTAATTTTTGTTGTGTAGGAAGTATCACTAGAAGTTGTACTGTTCTAGATTAACGCCCAACAAAATCAGCGGAGTATCGTTTAAAGACCGTTGCACTAAACGTCTGAAACTTCTAGTAATGATTCTTATACAATGTTCCGTAGTAACGTTGAATCTTAAATGTCATTTCCATGTGGAAAATACAATGATTTCAATTCAAAGTTAGCCCAAATAAAAAGCCCAATGTTCTCTAAGTATGAAATTAGTAGACGCTAAAAGTATTGGGTACGTTATTTGATGATGAGCTATTTACAACTGAGAGACAACCGTTAAAGATACTGTCAGATAAACATGTAATCTGTCATGTCTGTAAATTATTGTAGATATTATCTCTACAGTTAGTTTGATGTATTAGCCAAATATAAAATACAAGCAATGGATGGGGAACACGTACACTGAAACATCCCCTCCACCCTCTATGTGTATTACACGTACATCACACCTTACAACGGTAATCAATACACTCATTATACGATTTTAATGTATTTAATTTGGTAATTTTGCCCCGAACCTTTCCGTACAGGTGCGCGGTGTGTAATGACATAAGTGTATTGTCTACTGGTCTAGGGTTCCTGTCCGTATCTCCAGTCCTGGGGATATGTACATACACCGGACAGTGGTCAATTTAACCAGTTTAATTAGATGTATTGTCCGGAGTTAAACAGATATTCCAGTCTATAGACCGGCCGGACGGTGGATGACCAATGGTCAGCCTGGTCAATCTTGATCCACGGTAGCTATTCACATCGTATTAGCATGTTTAGTCGGCGAATTTGTGGACATTCGAATTCATTGTCGTCTCACTTGGTAAACTAAAATGGGAGGCGATTGTTGACCGTCTTGTTTAAACAATTTGGATTAAGTATGTGCTTAAGATGGTTAAAATTCATTATGAGTATCACGATAATTATTTAGGAGGGGTTATGACCTTGGGTAGACACTTGATAAACTTACGATAACCCTATATCCATTTTACAGCCCTATTTCGGTGTCTGAGGCGCGTGGACGATGGGTTCCTAGATACACATTAATGGCTAACATGGTGCGTAGAGGAATGGCGATAGGATCAAGGTTTTAGAGGGAAGCTTTTCGCCAACAATCGTTCAGAATGAAGAGCCAA